CCTCCCTCTCTCTCAGGTGAGGACAGGACGGTGGTGGTCTGGAAGGTGAGCCCTTACATGCAGGAGAGTCTGGTCCAGCAGGTGAGTGTCCTCTGTGACCAGCCTCAGGTCCACCTGGCAGCTCTGGGTCTCCAGCTGGCTCTCACCTGTCAGGATCCAGAGTCTGGTTCCTACTTCCCTGAGGACCGTTAACCTGCTGGACCAGAACCAGGGCTTTCACCAACAGAGTGAGGGACACGCAGACACACTCACAGGTCAGTAGAACTCTTTGTTTGTCACTGAAAGATGCCGTTTGTGTATATGTGTGTGTGTGTGTGTGTGACTGAGTGTTTCTGTCCTGCAGGGTTGTGTGTGTGTCCGGATCTGGAGGTGTTTGTCTCCAGCTGTGCAGACGGGACAGTGTGTGTGTGGAATGAAGAGAATCAGCTGATCAGGTAGGAGCCACGACTGATCTGTGGAGTGGTGCAGGAATGAGTCCTAATGAGTCAGACGATACAACCCCCCCCCCCCCCACACATACAACAACACAGACTATAACACCCCTTGCTGTTAAATACCAACCAACTATGTGCAATGTATATATGCTGTTAATAACTGTGCAATATATACCTGGCTGTGTGTGTGTGTGTGTGTGTGTGTGTGTGTGTGTGTGTGTGTGTGTGTGTGTGTGTGTGTTGGTGTGTGTGTGTGGTGTGTGTGTGTGTGTGTGTGTTGTGTGTGTGTGTGGTGTGTGTGGTGTGGTTGTGTGTGTGTGTGTGTGTGTGTGTGTGTGTGTGTGTGTGTGTGTAGGACCCTGCAGCTGAACGCAGTGCCAGAGAGTGTGTGTTACTCTGGATTCAGAGGGCAAGTGTTCCTGGGCATCAGAGGGGATCTGTACAGGATGGACTGCACTCACTTCCTGCCACATGAATATCAACAGATGGTAACCAGACAGATTTGGGGGGGGGTCATTTTTAAACCTAAACTGTCAAAAATAAAAACCCATTTAATGTTGTTTTATTCCCACAGCTCCTTTACACTTACTGTGCCGAACCAGTTCCTGACACGCCTGTGCTCAAGATGCAAAACAAGTCAGATTTAGTCACACTAGATATTAAAAATAACACAAAACCAGACCCTTCATTTGATGGGATTGTAATTATTGTATTCTAACTGTATTTGTGTCATTTTGTGTTTTGACCCATTCATTGGTATTTTCACATGTATCTTGTCATTTTAATATATTCTCATTCATGTTTGTTGATTTGTGAAAGCCTCTGAGACAAATGTGTTTTGTCTTATTGGGCTGTACAATAATTGAATTGAATTGAATTGAATGTTCTGGTGTGAACAGGGACGAAAGCACGGATAGAGACGAGGAAGAGGAATGGCCAATAATCACTGGGAACTTATTACTAACAGAAGACATGTGGAAACAGCAGGTGTGTGTGTGTGTGCGTGTGTGCGTGAGTGCGTGCGTGAGTGCGTGCGTGCGTGTGTGTGTGTGTGTGTGCGTGCGTGCGTGCGTGCGTGCGTGCGTGCGTGCGTGCGTGCGTCTCACCTTTTTGTCATTGCACTCTGAAGACTGTGTTAAGATGTATTTTCCTTAATTGGGACGATCTCTTCTTCGGTTTCCTGCACTCATCCAGAAATATTAAACCAAAGTACTTATTCTTGTTGAGTGACGCTGCGAGGAAAGAATCACAAAGAAGTGTCTCAAACCAAACGGCCCATCTATAGAGGATTGGTACGATATCATTCATGAAATCTTTGTAATGGAAAGAATAACCTTTTCTTTGAGGCTCACATTTAAGGACATTTGGGAGAAATGGAAAGCGTATATATTAACCCGAAACGCCCTTCTTTTGTTTAAGAAAAAGAACAGAGATGGACCACTCTGTAAAACTATTTAACTACATATGTATATGTGCACTGAAGTTGAAATGTGATCCAAAATGTATCCCCATGTGTTCCAGGAGTGTGTGAGCTCAGTGATTGTGAGCATGGATCTCTCAGCGCTCCTCAGAGGATCTGTGAAATGCAGAAAGCCGAAACCTCCCAGCACGAAGGAAACCAGCACAGAGGCGTTTGAAAACTACATGAGGATACTCTACGGGCTGCCTCTTGATGTCAAGGTTCCTTCCTCTCCCTACTATCCGCTAAATATAGATAGCTTCCTTCCATCATTGAGAAAGACACTAACGGCAAATTAAAGCAACACAGTCTCTCCTCCCTGCCTTTGATCAGCTCACTTCTTGAGTCACTAACATTCAAATATCCTCATTAGAATATCTTGGGCCCCTGATTTGAATCCAAAAGCCTAGACTTGACCTTTATTAAGATAACATCTATGACAGCTGTGTGACCCTCATTAGGTCATCTGTCTGTTAGAGCATGTATGTGTGTGTCGCTGTTTGATCCGCACATGCCCTCTGCCTATTCAGGGGAGTAAATAATACTATAATGTTGTGTTTTCAGGTTGATTTGGAAGATAAGTTGGACCCAGTTGAACCTGAGATAGCCTCTTTTGATCCTGATCCGTATCAAAAGGAGCCCGTTACCCTTCCTGTCTTAAAGAAGGTCGTGCACCGAGAAGCTATTGTAGAGGTAGCCGTGAAAAAGAAGGTGAGAACTGTTCAAAACAACCCGGAAAATGTGTTGTTAAAAAGGCGTTATTCTGCTTTTTGGCGGTTTTTCCTCTCCTGTAGTGTGTTGGTTTGTTTTGGCTCTGGTTTCAGACAGAGGGTGAAAAGAGGTGCTGCAGCACAGGCAGTATGAGGAAAATAAAGAGCTTTTTGAACATTAAAGCATGGAGACACGTCACATTATACTGATATGAACCTGAAAAGAAGCTCCTCTTTGGATTGAAACAGAAGTAAAGTTTGAATCTGTGTCTCAAACAGATCAAGAAGAAGAAAAAGGATCCTGAAACAACCCCTCCACCAAAACCCCTGAAACAATTCAAACCTGTTGCCAGAGTGGAGAAACCCATCAAAGTGAATAAGTATAAAGAGGTAAGAACGTGTCTTTATTCAACAGATGGAGAAACGACTCTGTGTAACATCATGTGAACCTGAACTCTGTCTTATTGTGTTGCTCTGTTGGAGGAGGAGCCTAAGATGTCCATTGATCTGTGTTATTGTGTTGCTCTGTTGGAGGAGGAGCCTAAGATGTCCATTGATCTGCACTGTGTGTACAAATGACAATAACAAACTTGATCCTTGAATCATTTCTCCCTGTAGCCTCCAGAGATCATTCCTCCTAAAGAGGAACCTGAACCTCTTCCTCCTCCTCTTCCTCGTCCTGTTCCTCTTCCTCCTCGTCCTCCTCCAAGGCCTTCATCACAAACCCCACCGAGGGAACCCACCCCCGAGATGCCGACGTTCCTCAAACAGTTTGCAGAAGCAGCCTGGTTTAAAGAGCTGTATCCGGATAACAGGGTAACTTAAAGGGGACCTATCATGCAAAATGCACTTTTGTACGTCTTTTCTACATGAATATGTGTCCCCGGTGTTCCAGGGAACTCACCAAGTGTCAGAAAACACAACCCTCTCTATTTTCCTCCATACCCAAATCTCTAAAAAAGGGGCTGCAACGGATCTGATAAAAACTGATCCAGATTTGAACACTGTCCTGACGTCAGGACGGTGGCGCTACGGCTATTGGGCCAACTCCACCAATCAGGAGGAGACAGCCACGGCCATTGCCGTTCGAAAGCGCTGGAGACGCTGTAGTACATATGCCAGGCCTGTAGGTGGTGCTGTTCTCACTGAATCTGCCCTTACAAACACAGAGCTAAAAAATGTCAAATTGAGCAAAATGAGGCATGGCTAAAATGCATGATCTGTTTGGTATTTTGAAAGAAAAAAAGTATAAATATGCTTTATATAGGTATGGTCCTACACTATATTATTATAATATAGCATGATAGGTCCACTTTAAGATAAGATAAGATAAGATGGAACTTTATTTATCACCGTGGGGAAATTCAGGCGTTTGTAGCAGCAACAGGGTCAGAATGAAAAAACAGGATTCACACAAGGTTAAAATAAAATAGAATACAACTCAAAATAATAAGTCAAGTGATAAAGTGACTCTTGAAACAAGATATCACAGTAAAAAGTTGAGCATTTGTCTGAACATGTTAAATATATTTACATAAGTGTGTAGGTTAAAGTCGTGTGTGTGTGTGTGTGTGTGTGTGTGTGTGTGTGTGTGTGTGTGTGTGTGTGTGTGTGTGTGTGTGTGTGTGTGTGTGTGTGTGTGTGTGTGTGTGTGTGTGTGTGTGTGTGTGTGTGTGTGTGTGTGTGTGTGTGTGCGCGTGCAGGGCGTCCCCAGTGATCTGTCTCCAGAGCAGTTCTCCCTGCAGCTCCTGGATCATGTGACCTCGTGCAGCTCCGCCTCCAGGCTGAAGGTCCTCTCCGCTCTGCAGGCGCTTCGCAGCCAGAAGCTGCTGCTGAACTCAGATCAGATTTACCAGGGACTGCTCCACCTGCTGCACACCTCCATTAAACCTCCCCTGGTACTGTACATCCTGAGTGATAATAATAAAAGGTTTATTCAGTATAGCACCTTTCACAGGAATACAATCCACAAAGTGCTTCACAAGAAACAACAAAGGTCTTTGAGCAGGTTTTCTCTCAGTGATCCTGCTGTTATGTTAAAGGTTGTTCATGTATTGTGTCCTGATATCTATCTATGTTGATGTTACACATGGAGCTGCTGTGATGCAAGGAGCATTTCAGACTCGATCTGACCATTAAAGTGTCATCGTATCGTATAAAAGCTCAAATGAAGACCACAGAAACATGAACACAATAACAACACGAGGCAGAAATTAAGATTAACATAAAAACAAAACACAGACCACGTCGAGTCCCGAAAGGAACAAACATAAGAACAGAACACATCACACACATCTCAAGCATACATGTGTACTTGTTATTTAAGAAGTGCATGTGTGTGAGTGTGTGTCCTGTGTGTGTTTCAGTCAGCTGTGCAGCGATCAGCTGTGGTTGAGACGTTGAATCTGCTGCTGCGTCTCAGATCTGCCAGTTATGAGTTTGTGAGGGAGCTTCTCACGCTGCTGGCTTTCAAATTACTGGGTCTCAGGTGAGTGGAGCACCGTTGAGTTCTTTGTAACCAAATGTCTCTCAGAGGGGCGAGGGGAGGGGCTCCTTATTTTCATCTAAAGTAACAGACAGAGAATCAGCACTTTGGAAACAGGGCTGAAACAGAGGGGATTATGGGTAATGCTGCAATGATCTGTTTGGTGTTTCAGCCAATCAGAGACAGGTTCTGTATATATCTGAGACCTGTGATATATTGATGAAGAAGAGGATAATAGGGGACCTTTAACTCTGTTACACCTGCATACAAATAATAATAAATAAATTGATAAAAAGGTTTGAATTGTATTTTTCCAAACAGGGAAGCGGTGCTGAGCATTCTGACTTCACTATCTGTGAATGAGCCTGAGATGTGGCTAGCACCTGAGATGGAGGGATGGAAATCGGACCCGTCTAACACCTGGAGCGGTTTCCATGACAGAGCAGAGTCCTGGCTGCAGGAGTGGATCTCCAAATACAAAGTAACAGCAGCAGAGAGGGCAAAAGTACACACATCCTTTACTCAAGTAGAAGTACATTACAAACATCTTTCCCTCTCTTCTCCACCCCTCCAGGAACATGCCAGGACTTCAGGCAGGTCTAACCCATCGACCGCCAGCCTGGTGGACGTTCTGAATTACTTCTGCTCGCTGCAGAGAGAGGAGTTCAGGAAGGCTCGATGTGTGGCGCCAGCTGGACACAAAAACACCGTTCTGATGCCTCTGAACGACTGGTATGTGTCCAAGCAACTTAAAGGTCACTTCTTATGCAAAATCCTCTTCTTCATGTCTCTTCTTCATCAACATGTGTCCCCTCTTCTTCATGTCTCTTCTTCATCAACATGTGTCCCCTCTTCTTCATGTCTCTTCTACATCAACATGTGTCCCCTCTTCTTCATGTCTCCTCTTCATCAACATGTGTCCCCTCTTCTTCATGTCTCTTCTACATCAACATGTGTCCCCTCTTCTTCATGTCTCTTCTACATCACCATGTGTCCTCTCTTCTTCATGTCTCTTCTACATCAACATGTGTCCCCTCTTCTTCATGTCTCTTCTACATCACCATGTGTCCTCTCTTCTTCATGTCTCTTCTTCATCAACATGTGTCCCCTCTTCTTCATGTCTCTTCTTCATCAACATGTGTCCCCTCTTCTTCATGTCTCTTCTACATCACCATGTGTCCCCTCTTCTTCATGTCTCTTCTACATCAACATGTGTCCCCTCTTCTTCATGTCTCTTCTTCATCAACATGTGTCCCCTCTTCTTCATGTCTCTTCTTCATCACCATGTGTCCCCTCTTCTTCATGTCTCTTCTACATCAACATGTGTCCCCTCTGTGGAAAGAGACTCTGAAAGTTTCAGGAACAAAGATTCTCTCTCTTTTTGATCCATTTCTATAAAAACCTGTCTGAAAATGAGCTGATCAGATTTTGGCCACTTTATGATGTCATAACGATGTTTTGTCTTGTGTAACCATTAGCCAATCAGCAACCAAGGTAACCCCCCCCACCTTATCACCTGAATCTCCTCCTAGCTACTGATGTTCTACTTTAACGCTCTGTTTGTTTGTGCAGTGGCTCTCATCCGATCCAGCGTCTAGGAGAGACTCACAGCATGGCCAGGACCTGGAAGACACCAGGTAACACTTCAATAAACCATCAAACTTTATTTAAAAGGTCACAAAAAGTGCTTCACAAACCAACACATTTAATAAAACACATGACCCCCGACCCCCCTTTTTAGGTCATAAATACCAAGTACACATAACTTGAAAATAACCCCACTTAAACCAACAGAAGTCAATAAACACAGGACTTAAAGGTGGGGTAGGTAAGTTTGAGAAACCGACTCGAGATACACTTTTTGTTATTTTGTTATATTCCAGCCTTCCATCTGTGCACAAACTTATCTGGTGCCCTCATTGGTCATGTGCGCGTTCGTGTGTGTTGGAGGAGGGGCTCTGTAAGGAAGTGGCAGATTTTCTCCGGTTGTGTATTTTCAAATTCTAGCGATCTCGAGCCGGTTTCTCCAAAATTACCTACCCTACCTTTAAAATAAAAATAATTGAAATAGAACAAATTAAGATAAGTATAAACAAATTCATAATAAGAAAACAATTATAGACACCTCACCTTGGGTCTTTGTTTTCTTTAGATATCATTGAATTAATGAATACATGATTAACTGATGATTAAAAGGCCAATACAAGAAGACCTAAGGGTTCATAGGGCAAAAGAAAATCTCATAAATATCTCAATCTCAATCTTTATATAGCACATTTAAAAACAACCTCAGTTGACCAAAGTGCTTTACAGAGAACACATAGTACAATATAGAATAACACAATGGGAGAAAAATAATAAAACAATGATTAAAAACGTGATAAAAAGCACAATACAATCAAGACCATAGAGAGCTTTAACAACCAATACAAGTATTTCAAACGGATCCACTGCACATGAGCAAAGACTGGTTTCTAATCTGTGATGTTTCCTCGTCTCTCAGGTTTTATTCTTCCTCCCCTGAGACACCGTCCCTTCCTCAGTCTCTTCCCCAGATTCATCTCCTTCCCGTTGCCTCGGGTCACTTTGCTCCCCTTCCTCCTGGCTTCAGAGGAAACCTGGCTGCAGGCGACATATCGACGATACTTCATCCTGCAGCAGTCGTACGTAGAGTACTACAGATGATACCCCCTATTTTAAACAATTAAACAGAGATGGCTAAAGTACACACATCCTTTACTCAAGAAGTACAGATACTCGTGTTTAAACATACTCTGGTGAAAGTAGAAGTACTGACTAAACTTCTTTACTCAAGTCAAAGTAAAGAGGGCTTTGAAATGTACTTCAGTAAAAAGTACCCATAACTAGCAGCTGTTTTAAAGAGTACCTGACCTCCCTTTATATTAATAGAACAATAATGTCATTGTTAGCTAATGAATGTTTCCATGCTGAACAACGGCAACATGACAACGTTTTCATTGGTCCCTCTTCTTTAGAGAAGACCAGGAAATGATGGATACACGGATCGTGTTCAAATCAATAGGCACGCAATGACTCTAAAGAATAATGATCACGCCACTAAACACACATTCAAACTAAAGGAACCAGCCTGTTTGGAAAATGTGAGAAGTAGAAAGTACAGGTATTTGAGTTCAACATGTAAGAAGTAGAAAGTACAGGTATTTGGGTTCAACATGTGAGAAGTAGAAAGTACAGGTATTTGTGTTCAACATGTAAGAAGTAGAAAGTACAGGTATTTGTGTTCAACATGTGAGAAGTAGAAAGTACAGGTATTTGTGTTCAACATGTAAGAAGTAGAAAGTACAGGTATTTGTGTTCAACATGTGAGAAGTAGAAAGTACAGGTATTTGTGTTCAACATGTGAGAAGTAGAAAGTACAGGTATTTGTGTTCAACATGTAAGAAGTAGAAAGTACAGGTATTTGTGTTCAACATGTGAGAAGTAGAAAGTACAGGTATTTGTGTTCAACATGTAAGAAGTAGAAAGTACAGGTATTTGTGTTCAACATGTGAGAAGTAGAAAGTACAGGTATTTGTGTTCAACATGTAAGAAGTAGAAAGTACAGGTATTTGGGTTCAACATGTAAGAAGTAGAAAGTACAGGTATTTGTGTTCAACATGTGAGAAGTAGAAAGTACAGGTATTTGTGTTCAACATGTAAGAAGTAGAAAGTACAGGTATTTGTGTTCAACATGTAAGAAGTAGAAAGTACAGGTATTTGAGTTCAACATGTAAGAAGTAGAAAGTACAGGTATTTGTGTTCAACATGTAAGAAGTAGAAAGTACAGGTATTTGGGTTCAACATGTAAGAAGTAGAAAGTACAGGTATTTGTGTTCAACATGTAAGAAGTAGAAAGTACAGGTATTTGTGTTCAACATGTAAGAAGTAGAAAGTACAGGTATTTGTGTTCAACATGTGAGAAGTAGAAAGTACAGGTATTTGTGTTCAACATGTAAGAAGTAGAAAGTACAGGTATTTGGGTTCAACATGTAAGAAGTAGAAAGTACAGGTATTTGTGTTCAACATGTAAGAAGTAGAAAGTACAGGTATTTGTGTTCAACATGTGAGAAGTAGAAAGTAAAAAGTGGTCAGAAAAATAAGTAGTGGAGTAAAGTACTGATACCAGAAAGATGTACTTAAGTACAGTAACGAAGTATTTGTACTCTACTACTTCCCACCGCTGCAATTAAAAGACTCAACATCAGATTAAAGACTGATTTATTCGGGGACAGTTGGTGACGTTCAAGATATTACAAAAATGGAAAACACAACGAGAATCACTCGGATAATAATCCTAAAGGTTTTGCAGTTCATTCATACAAGGTAAACATGTGCTAATATGTAGTACACACACATATTTAAAAGGGTGTTGATGTGTGTGTAAATGTACAAGCTGATGAGATAATGCCTTTATATATAAACAGCTGTAAAGGCACATGGTCAGAAAGTGTGTCATTTCAACAAGAGGGTTAACAATCCATATCCCATCCTGATGACAGAGCACAGGCCATTCTGTCAGAAGAGCAACATGTCCAACTATTTCATATATTCAACAACAAGAAGTATTATCAAAGTAGTAAAGCACCATGTTATTGAAGCATCCCCTCCATGTGTCCTACTCAGTGGTGGAAGAAGTTGAAGCAGCACAATGTGTTGCAGCGCTTCAAAGTGGACGTCCTCCTTTAAGGCAGGAAGGTCTGATTGTGATATGGATTATGGATCAGGATCAAATGAGGCGTTCTCAGGTTCTTCTGGGTCAAAGTGATCATGGCAAATAACCTGAAAACACGTCATAAATATCCTGTTCATTTACTCATCTGAATAAACAAGATGTGCAGAAAAGTTGTGCCAAATAAATTGTGTTTTTCCGGTACTGATCCGGCAGCGAGTGTCCCGTAGTGATGTCACTATGTTCCAGAAGTAAACACAGGAGTCAAATGGAGAGAAACTCCCTACAAAACAAACCTCTTTGAAAACCTTCACATGAGACAGATGGTGACAAAGAAAAGATCAAAAAGCAGGAGAGAGTTTGCAGGATTTCATCGCCAGGTGTTCGTTGTTCTGTCGTGATTGGTGTACCAGCTTAGAGATGTCCCGCCCCTTAGCCTATCACGTACAATGTGTTGGAGCGCGAGCCAATAGGAGCGCACGTGTTCCGTAGTGATAGTCCATAAATCTTCATCACTTGATAAAGACAATATAAAAAGCAGGAGAGAGTTTGCAGGATGTCATCGTCAGGTGTTCGTGGTCCTTTAACACACCATGTCTTTATCGTAGTTGAGCAGGTCGCAGGTCAGCAGCAGGTCCGATCTGCCGCTCTCTTTCAGCGCTCTGTTGATCTGGCTGCTGGTGATGTTGACGTCTATAGCCTCGTCCAGGGGCCAGTCTAACAGCTGGGCGCTGGAGGGCATCTCTGGGAGCCCCGGCTGATAATCCTCCAGAGGGTTCGGGTACAGCAGCTGCCGCAGAGAAGGCATCTTCACCGCCATCTTCACCAGATCCATGAGGCCGGATACAGACAGAGGGTTCAGCGCCAACGCGAGGCTCCTGAGGGCCCGGCAGCATCCTAACGAGGGCAAAAGGAGCACCAGGAGGTTATCGGTGAGTCCACATCCGCTCAGAGAGAGGTGCTGCAGGGTGTTGGAGGCCTGAGAGAGGAGGCGGCGGATGGAGGTCAGCGTGGTTTCATCCAGACGGTTCTCACTGAGGTCCAGCTGCTGCAGGTTGGAGGCGTGGTGGCTGACGGAGAGGAAGGCCAGGTCTGCAGGACTCAGGCTCAGGTAGGGCAGCTCCAGGACCTCCAGGGGCCGAGGCAGCGAGCTGGGACACAACGAGATGCATTTATTACATTCAAACATCCATTACAGAGGTTTACGGTGGGTTAAAGGTTGTGTAATGTGTTTACAATTTACAACAACAACAAAAACAATACTATCTCCGCCTTCCCTTATTATCCCTGTGTATATTCTCAGATAGATAGATAGATAGATAGATAGATAGATAGATAGATAGATAGATAGATAGATAGATAGATAGATAGATAGATAGATAGATAGATAGATAGATAGATAGATAGATAGATAGATAGATAGATAGATAGATAGATGATAGAATAGATAAGATAGAATAAGATAGATAGATAGATAGATAGATAGATAGATAGATAGATAGATAGATACCTGAGCAGCACTCTGAGTTGTCCGGGCAGACGCAGCGCGGTGAGGCTGAGGCATCTGAGTTCCTGCAGCTGCTTGAGACCCTCAGATAAATCCTTCAGAGCTCCTTCCTGTCCGGGCTGTTCTCTCCGGAGATCCAGGTTACAGTAATGCAGACGCAGAGAGCTGAGAGCGGGGAAACTGGACAGAGTACACACATCCTTTACTCAAGTAGAAGTACAGATACTCGTGTTTAAAAATACTCTGGTAAAAGTAGAAGTACTGACTAAACTTCTTTACTCAAGTCAAAGTAAAGAGGCTTTGAAATGTACTTCAGTAAAAAGTACCCATAACTAGCAGCTGTTTTAAAGAGTACCTGACCTCCCTTTATATTAATAGAACAATAATGTCATTGTTAGCTAATGAATGTTTCCATGCTGAACAACGGCAACATGAAAACGTTTCATTGGTCCCTCTTCTTTAGAGAAGACCAGGAAATGATGGATACACGGATCGTGTTCAAATCAATAGGCACGCAATGACTCTAAATAATAATGATCACGCCACCAAACACACATTCAAACTAAAGGAACAGCCTGTTTGGGAAATGTGAGAAGTAGAAAGTACAGGTATTTGTGTTCAACATGTAAGAAGTAGAAAAGTACAGGTATTTGTGTTCAACATGTAAGAAGTAGAAAGTACAGGTATTTGGGTTCAACATGTAAGAAGTAGAAAGTACAGGTATTTGTGTTTCAACATGTAAGAAGTAGAAAGTACAGGTATTTGGGTTCAACATGTAAGAAGTAGAAAGTACAGGTATTTGGGTTCAACATGTAAGAAGTAGAAAGTACAGGTATTTGGGTTCAACATGTAAGAAGTAGAAAGTACAGGTATTTGTGTTCAACATGTAAGAAGTAGAAAGTACAGGTATTTGGGTTCAACATGTAAGAAGTAGAAAGTACAGGTATTTGTGTTCAACATGTAAGAAGTAGAAAGTACAGGTATTTGTGTTCAACATGTAAGAAGTAGAAAGTACAGGTATTTGTGTTCAACATGTAAGAAGTAGAAAGTACAGGTATTTGTGTTCAACATGTAAGAAGTAGAAAGTAAAAGTGGTCAGAAAGATGAACTTAAGTACAGTATAAAGTATTTGTTCTTCCCACCTCTTCAGCAGAGGAAGCAGCTCAGCCAGACCAGCCACTCCGATGTTACTGTAACGAACATCAAGTCCCAGAAGCCCTTGCTGCGGCAGTAAAGCCAGCAGAGCCCTGATGCTGGACACAGAGATCTCCTCCGCTCTCAGATACCTGCACTGCAGCTTCAGAGGGCCACATGTGGTCAGAGCTCCTCGAACTCTCTCCCACGACCTGGCGTTCACAAACAGATCTGCTCTCACGTGCACCAGCACTTCACTGTCCTCTTTCACTTCCTGTTTACTTTCTGATTCTGTCACTGTAGGCATCATCTTCCTCTCCGACTCCATCCTCCTCCTCACTCCTCGAATCAGCTCGTCTTCGCTGGAAATCCCACATGTTGTCGTCAGTTCTTCTTCACCTGTGTGGTTTAAGATAAGATAAAATGGAGCTTTATTAATCCTCGTGGGGAAATTCAGTAGTTTAACAGCAACAGGGTGAGAATGAAAAACAGCACAGATTCACACAGATTAGAGATTACTACGTCTGAAAGCTGAAGTCTACGGCAAATAATTGAAAGCAAATATTAATTAATTAATTAATTACACCAATTGTATTGTATATTATATTCTTTGTATGCGGGCCACATCAAATGAGGTCGCTGGCCTTGAGTTTGACACCCCTGTTTTACACGTTAGAAATAAATCCAATCAAAACCTGTGTGTTTTCCAGTCAGTTCTTCTTCACCTGTGTGTTCTCCCGCTCTCTCCCTCTTCACGTCCCTCTTCCTCTCCAGGTCTGAGCTCCTCTTCCTCTCCCTCTGGGCTCTCTGGGCTCCGCTCCTGGCCTGCAGCACCATGGTGCAGAGGGCCACGGTGAGGGACCAGCCTCCCATCGGGTCCCCCGTCCCCCCCTCGTCTCCCTGCAGACCACACAGGTCCAGCACCTGCAGGGCACACCTGGGGAAGAGAGGAGGCTTTCATTACACTCACATCCTGGTCCAACACTTTAGCTTCTTCAGAGGTGGAGAAGGACTCAGGTCTTGTACTTGAGTAAAAGTAGAAGTACTCAGATGTTGTTCTTGAGTAAAAGTAGAAGTACTCAGATCTTGTTCTTGAGTAAAAGTAGAAGGACTCAGATCTTGTTCTTGAGTAAAAGTAGAAGTACTCAGATCTTGTACTGAGTAAAAGTACTCAGATCTTGTACTTGAGTAAAAGTAGACTCGAGTATTTCAATAGTGTGCTACTTTAACCTGAAAGCATTACAGAAGTAAGATAGATAGATATATAGGTACTTTATTGATCCCAATTTGGGAAATGTTTGCGTTGCAGCAGCATCAAAAACAAGGCAGAAAAGTAAACGTTATTTAATATAGGCTAGTCTTTCTTCCAGCACTTCTTCCTACCTGTGGTCCAGCAGCCCCCTCACCACCGCCAGCAGCAGAGCCTGAATACAGAGTCTGTTCGGGGCTGGTTTCCTCCGGACCCTCAGGGTTCGTTCAGGCCACCTCTGGACCAGCTCTCCCACAGCCAGAGGTCTGCAGCCGGACAGAGAGGCCTCCAGCAGGGGTCTGAACAGCTCCATGGGGACGCAGCTCAGCCAGCATGGAGACGAGCTGTGGTCCCGAACCACCTCCGAGGCGCAAAGACTCAGCAGGGAGAGAACCATTAAACAGGCGAGATGTTTTATATATATAAAGAAGAGTTTAGCAGAAGAGTAGTGTTGCTTTCACACCTCTGAGAGACTGGAAACAGAGCTGGAGGAGGGAGCTCTGTTTGTTCCTGCTCGGTGAATCCCGAAATAAAGCGACTGTAGATTCAGGAAATACCCGCATATGGGCCCACTGAGCATGCGCAGTAGAGTAGTTCCTTAAGCCCTGTCTCCGATTTCCTGCTCTCGGCTCAGTCAAATAATAAGTAAATAAATAAATATAAGTAATAAATAAATATAGTAATAATATTATCTTATTATACATCCATGAGTCAAATGAATGGGGAGGGATTTTTGTAATTCAACTTTATTGAACAACACCTCAGGAAAAAAGGCTTTATTTTCGATGTATTTAAGTATATTTTTGGAAGTCTCTTTCACAATGCTAATGTTACTTTATTATTTGCCCCTCTTGTTTGTTTGTTTGTTTGTTTGTTTGTTTGTTTGTTTGTTTGTTTGTTCACTATGTAAAGCGGCCTTGGGTCCCTTGAAAGGCAAATGTAATCTATTATTATTATTATTATTATTATTATTAATGTAAGCCACGGAAGTTGTAGTACCAACGTTTGGCCACTACGCTAAAAAATCAGCTTCAACAGCCGGAGCACTTCCTGGCTAACGAACTAGCTAATATTAACTTTATGACAGAAATGTGACTCTTGTCTTGTAAACCGTCCAGAAAAGACTTTATAACTCCATGTGATATCCGCTCTGAGTATCAACAGCAGTAACCTCTTATGGGAACATCCCGCTGGTGAAATATTAAACATCTCGTTAGCTTGCAAAACGGATTGTTTACATTTTTACTGACGCGGTGACGTAGCACGTACAGGCGTGACGTCATCACCATAGCATTTAACAACATTATATGCTAAAGTACACATTATTTGATAGTATATTTGAGAGCTTTAGTTCAAAGTGACAGAGAGACATGAAATCATCAGGTATATTAATACAGATCTAACATATCTAATGCTATAACACTCACTTACTACCCTGAGAGTAGATCTGGCCTACTGTTGTTTTAATACTTATATGCTGATAACAACTTCTCTGTGCTTTCTCACAGTGTTAAAGCAAGATATAATATTGTTTCTTGTAATTAGATTAAGGAATCTGAATATGGAGAATCCCTGCTTTTGTTTTGAAGTCAAAGTATATCCACGCTGACAGACTTTAAGGTGAAGGGTTGAGGCTATACTTGTCAACACGTCTATTATCTGAACCCCATGGTCTCAGTAGCATCTATATATAAAGGGAGGGTACTAGGAAATGCTTTTGACTGATGTTACACTGATATATAAGCTGCTGTTTATTCATATTAAAGCCTAAGTATAGTGAGTATTAAATGATCAGTCATAGTTGATGGGGATACACTCATAAACAATGATTTAATTACAAAATCACATTTCAAAGCCTCTTTACTTTTACTTGAGTAAAGAAGTTTAGTCAGTACTTCTACTTTTACCATTTTTAAACAGGAGTATCTGTACTTCTACTTGAGTAAAGGTGTACTCTTGCCCTCTCTGGTAGAATGTGTACATGCTGTCTTTCTATAGAGAGAAACCCCTCTGAGACCATGGGGTTTGTGTACCCTCCCTCTCTGCATGGCTCAGATGAAACATCAACAGAAGGGCAAACAGCAATCAGTGATCTCACAGAGTTTCATCACATCTCTGTTTTAATGTGTACAGAACAGTGTGTGTGAAATACATTCAATGAATTGTTTGACAAATGTCTGCATCGCTCACTAGCCTCCGGGACAGATATTAGTTTTTATCCAACAAGGACCATGCATAGAATACATTTACCTCAAAGAGAGAAGAAATATGTGCCGGATTTGACTCTTATTTCCCTTTGTGGGGTATTTACAGACGTAGAATTAAAATCTGTTCAGCTTGTGTTAACCATAGAACCATATGAGGCTTACAACCAAAACACATTCAGAACACCATTGACTTCCAGACAGGAAGTGGTGGAATGCTAAGTCTTTTCCGGGGTTTTAGGACTCATTCTTGCACCTCTCTATTGCCACACACTCCTATAGACAGCAGGGTTCGTACGGGTGCTGGAAATCCTTGAAAATGCTTGAAATTTAAATAAAAACATCTATTTTGATTCTGACTTTTCTACATCCAACTCATCCAATAAACCGTCACGGTAGCCTTACCTTACTGATCCCTCTTAAAATAGAAAAACACACGTTACTTTACCAGCAGAGAGAAGATGGATTATTACATTATTAATGTGACTAATAAAGAGCACTTTGATTATTAAGTATTATTCTGTTGATGGATGTCATTACATTTGGTGAAAAGCTCATAATGACTTGTTTAAGACTCGTTTTTCAAAGTGTAGGACTTGGACTTGACTTGAACTTGCCCATCCTGACTTGAGACTTGACTCGGACTTGAGTGCAAAGACTTGAGACTTACTTGTGACTTGCAAAACAATGACTTGGTCCCACCTCTGCAAAATACCAACATGCCTCATAGCCCTCTATTTCAGCCCTGATTTTGGCACATCTTGTAAATTAGTTAAATGTAGCTTTGTGCTTTTATTTAAGTCGCTGTTCATAGTTTTTTATATGAAAGCAGATTTAATGATACCCTATGGTCGTTGATGTGGATGTTGTGTCGTCTTTTGATAACTTTGTTGAGCTTGTTTTTAGCTGCATGTCTTTTCTTTGATCTCACTGAACAAAGTCCCTGTGTGTGAACTGCTTGAGCTGAGGAGGCTGGATATGAAACAGAGGAGGAGCTGCAGAGAGAAAGGGACGTTGAATGTAGGAAGTGAAAGTATGAAGTCATACTGTCAGACGCCATTTTACAGCTCGGAGCAGGAGGAGAACAACAGGGTGAGTGTTAACACCAGGATCTGCTTTCTAACACATTAGTTATTTACTCTGTTTTACTGGATGTCAGAAAAAAACTTCTTGGTTAAAAATCAGCGTCCTAGAGTCCATTGAGACTTCTGCAAGTGTTGTAAAGTTTGATTATTTCCTCTTTCCTGAGTCATCAGAGTTACATAACATGTGACAGCCCAGCGCAGACAAAATGGAGAGCGGCCTGAAGTCTGACTGATTTCATGTATTTGAACCAAGTGTATTATTCAGGGGTGTGTGTGTGTGTGTGTGTGTGTGTGTGTGTGTGTGTGTGTGTGTGTGTGTGTGTGTGTGTGTGTGTGTGTGGTGTGTGTGTGTGTGTGTGTGTGTGTGTGTGTGTGTGTGTGTGTGTGTGTGTGTGTGTGTGTGTGTGTGTGTGTGTCATCCTGTTTGGCATCAGTTCACCTCTTCACATGTTTCTGTGAGATAAACAGCTCGTTTAGATTTATTGCTCGAAAACAGCGACCAGGCGCCATCTTTACAGAAACAGAGCCGTCTTCCTCATTTAGTCTCTTCTGTTTGAGCGGAAACTACAAATAAAACCTTGCTTTAGTTTCACCTCCTGCACAGTGAGAGCGTGCTTTCATAATGGGAAGCAGAAGAGGAGGAAAAGATGCTTTACAACGTAAACAAACCCCTAAAGTCACAGAGTATCAAACCCCTAAAGTCAGAGAGTATCAAACTCCTAAAGTCACAGAGTATCAAACCCCTAAAGTCAGAGAGTATCAAACTCCTAAAGTCAGAGAGTATCAAACTCCTAAAGTCAGAGAGTATCAAACTCCTAAAGTCAGAGAGTATCAAACTCCTAAAGTCAGAGTATCAAACTCCTAAAGTCAGAGTATCAAACTCCTAAAGTCACAGAGTATCAAACCCCTAAAGTCAGAGAGTATCAAACTCCTAAAGTCAGAGAGTATCAAACTCCTAAAGTCAGAGTATCAAACTCCTAAAGTCAGAGTATCAAACTCCTAAAGTCAGAGAGTATCAAACCCCTAAAGTCACAGAGTATCAAACTCCTAAAGTCAGAGTATCAAACCCCTAAAGTCACAGAGTATCAAACCCCTAAAGTCACAGAGTATCAAACTCCTAAAGTCAGAGTATCAAACTCCTAAAGTCAGAGTATCAAACCCCTAAAGTCACAGAGTATCAAACTCCTAAAGTCACAGAGTATCAAACTCCTAAAGTCAGAGTATCAAACCCCTAAAGTCAGAGAGTATCAAACTCCTAAAGTCACAGAGTATCAAACTCCTAAAGTCAGAGAGTATCAAACTCCTAAAGTCAGAGTATCAAACTCCTAAAGTCAGAGTATCAAACTCCTAAAGTCACAGAGTATCAAACCCCTAAAGTCAGAGAGTATCAAACTCCTAAAGTCAGAGAGTATCAAACTCCTAAAGTCAGAGTATCAAACTCCTAAAGTCAGAGTATCAAACTCCTAAAGTCAGAGAGTATCAAACCCCTAAAGTCACAGAGTATCAAACTCCTAAAGTCAGAGTATCAAACCCCTAAAGTCACAGAGTATCAAACCTCTAAAGTCACAGAGTATCAAACTCCTAAAGTCAGAGTATCAAACCCCTAAAGTCACAGAGTATCAAACTCCTAAAGTCACAGAGTATCAAACTCCTAAAGTCAGAGAGTATCAAACTCCTAAAGTCACAGAGTATCAAACTCCTAAAGTCAGAGAGTATCAAACTCCTAAAGTCAGAATATCAAACTCCTAAAGTCACAGAGTATCAAACTCCTAAGTCACAGAGTATCAAACTCCTTAAAGTCACAAGAGTATCAAACTCCTAAAGTCAGAGAGTATCAAACTCCTAAAGTCAGAGAGTATCAAACTCCTAAAGTCACAGAGTATCAAACTCCTAAAGTCACAGAGTATCAAACTCCTAAAGTCAGAGAGTATCAAACTCCTAAAGTCACAGAGTATCAAACTCCTAAAGTCAGAGTATCAAACTCCTAAAGTCAGAGAGTATCAAACTCCTAAAGTCACAGAGTATCAAACTCCTAAAGTCAGAGAGTATCAAACTCCTAAAGTCAGAGTATCAAACTCCTAAAGTCAGAGTATCAAACTCCTAAAGTCAGAGAGTATCAAACTCCTAAAGTCACAGAGTATCAAACTCCTAAAGTCAGAGTATCAACTCCTAAAGTCAGAGAGTATCAAACTCCTAAAGTCAGAGAGTATCAAACTCCTAAAGTCACAGAGTATCAAACTCCTAAAGTCAGAGAGTATCAAACTCCTAAAGTCACAGAGTATC